GACTGTAAATGTGGGCAAAATATCATACACGTAGATATTATTCCCCATGACATACTAGCTGACAACATTTGGCAACGTTCTCTAACAATTTGTCTAACTTAATAAATTTTACTTTTTGACAAGATGGTCCCTCAGACTGGACAAAATTCAGCAACCATTTAATCTCTACCTCATTCTGTTTGAAATTGTATTATGTGTTTTTAATGGTGGGTTTATTTTGGCATATTGAAGTAACATGGTGCTGTAACTTTGCAGATGCAACTCGTCTACATTTATGTACTTAAAGAGGTGAAGAAAAGTCTACACGAAAGTAGAAACTTCCAGGAGGAACCATTTTTGTGAATAATATTCAGTCCTCAAGATCATTTCTCACATTTCTCATCTCTCAGCACTGGTCTGACATGAAACTACACACAGTGCAAAACAACTTGGAATAGACATATGCTCTTTTGATATTTCCTCTTTTGCATAGCTTTTCACCGAATTGCCCAACTTGGCGGTCAGTTATTGTCATGAATTAGAAGTTTGGAATCTTTCCCGACTACGCCTGCACTCTGATGTAACCAAAGACCAGGGAGGAGAAAGACTGACAGGAAAAAGGCAGTGACAGCAGCTGCCATGATGACGGGCTGACTGGTCTTCCCATCGAAGCCATCGGTCTACATCGGTCACTGTTCCAATGACGCAATCTCTTCATCCTGGACATTATAACAAGAAAAAAACATTAGTTCCGAGTTACTAATCCAAGTGAAAGACTGCATACAAGGCAAACCACGATTGACCAATAGTATAATTCTGTTGGGCTGAAGCTGGGCTGCCCAACTATTGTTGGCCAGTCTCTGTACAAAATTTCTCAACCTTCTCCAACTTTATGCATTTCACACCTGACATAATTCATCTAAAATATGGCACTTTGTCTATTAAATAGTAAAAACTTGTTTCTACAGGCACAAGTTGATGTAAACAAAGTGATGTTGGCGCCTACTTGCTTACTCTGGACCTCTGTGCTGTAGCTGGGCTAGCTCAACTATAGCACTTTAGTTGGGATGGTCCAACTGTAGTTCAGAGTGATACTGCAGTTAGGGGCATAACAATTCCATTGATAAGAGGTATGATACAATTTCACATAGATAAAAAAGAATGTTAGGCCTCTTTGGGAAGAGTTTCATGTACTTCTTTCATGTCTTTTTCTCTACAATGATGTATCAGCCATCAGTAAGCGATAACAGTTTTTAAGAGTTACATTTAGGAGAGACAACATCGAATCGTTCAGGCCTACTTGGAAAATGTTTTGAAAACTATGAGGGTTGAATCAGAGAAATACTGTAATTTTTTTTTTTACAAAATAGGTTCCAAATTAACATTTGGACAAGTACATGTACAGTACACTGTTTTTGCAATGAATACTGAACATTTTTTTTTACAAAGGAAATCAACTCTCCTCGGCCAAAATGTTGGAGTTCGGCCTTTCGTTTCATGACGTGTTGAATTCTATATGGGGCAAAATTTTATCCCACAACTCGGTCCCAAAGTGTCTCCTCAATACAGAGCCAGCCAGGGCAAAGTCATCTGATCATCTATGAAGTTTGGCTTTTTTGCGCTCTAAATAGCACTTCCTTGCCTCTGCCACAGAGTCCTCGCTATTTCTTTTGCTGATCTGAACCCGCGTCTCTCCTGACTTCTCAGCTGTGTGAGAAAAAAAAGAGTACAGGAGTTTAGTGTTTCAAATTGAAAAGCACATTCTATCATTAATCTATAAACTTTATAATTTTGTAGAAAGGATCTCACATTTGGGCTGTTCAATAGCAGTTCTGTCAGAGAACTCCGCTTCGACAATGTCAGTTTCATCAGAAATCTTGGGTGCAAGACATCCACTCAAGGCGTACACATCAAGTTGGTGTAACCGTGGCAACAGCTCCTTAATCCACTCATACTTTGCCTGATCATTCAATGAAACAGAAAAACACTTAAGAAAGATTCTGCTTGTTGATTTGTCTTGTTGATGTTGGTCACTGCAGTCAGCAAGCAGTTTGCAGCAGGTTTCCATTTCACATTTGAGAAAAAAATTCAAAATTCACAAGAGCCACAAAATGGATCTTTTTTAATATAAGTTTAATTTGTTCATTTTTCCCCCAGTTTTGCGAGTCACCACGCCCGTGCTCCCTGCGAGTCATCACACAGAGACTGATCTTGAGACTTGAGTCAACACAGGAGCCACAGGCTGGTTTGACTCTTCGGGGAAAGCAGATGACTACAACTGACAAGAAAGGAAAAAAATCTTTTGTTAATGCAGGGTCAATACAAAAGCAACCTTTGTTTGATTCAGATGGATAAAATTGGAAATTATCTAGCTCTGCGGAGGGGTGAGAGGGGAAAATATACAGATAAGAGATACAGCCTGTCCTAGAGTATATCAAAAGAAAAACATCACGAAGCTATACAGAGACAAGCAGCACGTTTTCGCAAAAGGCAATTACAAAAATACACCAGGAACAGCCACTAAAATGCTCAAGGATATTGGCTTGGAGTCCTTGGAAATGAGAAGGAAAATAAGAAACTCAGCCTGATTTACAAGATGGAAAATAACATGGCAGAAATACCACTCAAGGAAAAACACCATAAACAGTTTCGTCAAATCCGATCCTCTACTCAAGCCTTTGGAACTAGTTTTTCCCCCATCATCTGTTAAGGATTGGAAGGCGTTACCTGCAAACATCATTATTTGCACTTCACGAGAGATATTCAAAGATGGGTTAACAATGACATGTTTGGACAATCCACACAATGCGCAGGCTGGTGGGATGTGTCCTAACGGATATTTATTTGCCGACTCAACTGTACAGATACACCCTTTAAACCTCAAACCAACAAACCAGAACGGGAATGAAGTTTTTTATTCAGTCTGCCAAGAATATTGACACTCAAGGTGGTATCAATGAAAAGCAAGAAAGTATGGTACATTTGAACTCTGATAAGAAGAGCATTGTTCGTATAAAGTCTCGTTTATAACAGGTACAAGTTTAGGTCCCAAATCTTTGTTTTTCTTTGTTTTGCCTTATTGATAACAAAGGTACACAGACATGTACTTGTTGTAACAAGAAAAACTGTTTAATTCCCAAGGACCTTGTTAAAGAGGATTTTCAGTCACATTACTTTTGACGGTCAGTGTTCAGTTGACACGGATGTGCGTGGAAACGCTCGCCTTCAAACTCTCTCAACATTCAGAAAATGCCGATGCAAATACACAGATTCAAAAAAGTACAACAACAGATAGGGTACACTTCCTGTAATGCCTTCGCCCGTTATGTTATGTCACGTAAGAAATCTCCATAGTCGTGTTCCAATGTACATTTTTAAGTGTCAGGTATAAGTGTTCAAGTATTCACAGTGTTTAATCAGTATTTGGGACATAACCATGTTGTTACCAGACGTTTCACCTGCCACTCACAGCTTCAAGTCTACTGAAATTTACTCGGGGACTTGGAAAAAGGCTCTATTTACTAGGGGCTTCACTAAAAACTTCACAGTGACAATCTTGCATCATTATTTGGTAGCATTGTACCTTCAGTTGCCTGTTCAAGATGTTTTCCAGCTGTTTGTGGATGCTGGATGCTGTCTTAACTGCTCTCAAGTGTATGTAGTTCCTTTGGCACCATGACGAGGGAGACTCACAGGGAAAGAATCAAATCACATAAACGTCTCAATGTGATGATCTGTGAGGTTAGGGCAGGTTTTCCCTCAATAGAAACATTGACACTGATATTGTCCTGTTCAAGCAATATGAAAGAATAAAGAGGGAAAATGGTTAAAAACTGAAAAAAAGGAACTCAAATTCAGTTGCTGCACTTCTCACAGTTTTAGGAAAGAAAGCAAGAAAAGAGTACAACAGGAAATGATTTTCATATCAATCCTACTTTTGCTCTAAACTGTGTTTAACACAAAGCATTGCTGATTAACAAGCCAACCTCAAGCTTGGGGGCTGATTGCTTGAAACACCCACTTCAGTTAACGGCAAGGCACTTGCAAAGACTTAATGGCAGCATGCAACCCACACCAACCTGTCAGCATAACGTCTGTACACGGCAAGGAGTGTGGCAAAGTCATTGTTGCTTCCAGCCATCTTGGCAAGTGTTGCGTGAGCCTCAATTGGCCGCTTCTTTCTGTTTCTCGGCATCTCCTGTCAAAAAAGGTTGAATACAATTATATTCTGTTTTCCCACGAGCCACTCCCACAAACTAACACCGTTACTCCATGTGGCGATTTGGGTCTCCAGGTCAGTTTCCGGGTTATGCCTGAACCTGTACCACTGTTTCATGGCAGCTGACACATCCCTCAGGTCCCCTCTCTTACTACATTTCATTATGCTGCTGTGGAAGTACAGTAAGACCAGTCACACCCCAAACAGCTGTGACCTATCAGCACATGTCTGTAAATAATGAGCTCCAGTTGGGTTTGTAGCTCTATGCTGAGAGTGACCACATGGGCCCTTAGGGGTTACTGATCTTTCAACACTCCTTACTCTGCAGTGGTTGGGGTCTAACCAATGGGAGTCTACAGGCTTGTGGTGTATGCCTGGGGTGAGGACTACATGGAATCTTTGCCAAATTAGCCCGTTGGAAAAAGTTATGACCATATTTGGTGATATGGGTAGACTTTCTTCACCTTACAGTTGCTACTTAATGGTAACTCCACCATTCCCAGGCTTGTGGCAACGCATACGCCCTTTATTGATTAGCAACTGTACGGGCAACCAAGGTTGGTGGAAAGTTCACTCTAGATTGGCAACTGGTTTGCCTGAAACTGCACTCTTAACCCATTTGTAATAAAGAGGGCGGTATTTTCATTTTAGTATTTAGCAGTTTTATTATGTTGTGTTTTGAAAGCTGAGTGAGCTTTTTAAAGACTTTGTGAATTATTCCTTTGCTAACCGTGAGTAGGTAAAAACTACTAAATAGCAAGGGAGAAGTTTCATTCCCATCTATTTACATCTCAGCCCTATAAAGTATACATTAATGTTAACACAACCTTCCATAAATCTTTCAAATCCAACAACTGGGCTATTTTCCAAATTTCAGTTTCAACTCGGGCTCAAAACCCAGCTCCAAATGTCTGTCTCTATTATCATTGTTCAATTGGTTTCTGCACAGTGCTGCATTTTGGCAGATATATGGGTTCATACCTGGTCTTATGAAGATGTTCTCCACGGAGAGCATGGCCGCTATTGGCAGCATCAACTCGTGACACTGGAGGGCACCAGAGTAGATGACGGCCCTGGCTAGGCCGGGTGGCAAGGGGTATTCAACCATCAGACTCCCAAGGGAAGTGATGCGCCCATTCCTGTCGGGTCAAATTTAAAGTTTGAATTAGTGAACTCAGAAGACAATAACTACNTGTAACTCAACACAGTGGGATAAATTTCAGGGAGCTAGGTAACTGTCAAAATCATGATCACCATCATACCTGCATCACCAACTTCGTTATTATTTTCACCACCATCATTTCTATCGCAACCAGCACCACCACGCCTCAACTGTTTGCATCATTTTACTGTAACCACTAGCAAGAACATCCAATCCAGCATTTAAAGTTTATGATAGATGGCACTCACTTGTTGATTGCACCAAAGTAGTAAAGTTGTCTAAGTGCCTCAGGAAGCATTCTCTCTCCTGGAGAATCAACGTAAGGGAAGCTGTTGATATGTTGAAAGTCTGCCTTGCCCGGTTTTTTCTTTTGTTGGAAACCAAGCTTTACGTAACATCTCCTTTTATTCCAAGCATTTTAAAATCAAATGTCATTGCATTCCACCATAAGGATACATCTGAAAACGATAGCATGCTCAATAGGACCCATAAAACACCTGCAATGCTATTTGACGCCGCGGGAAGATCTCATGGCTCGCCGCGCCGCGGCGAGATATTATTTCACTGCAGTCAGATAAAAAATCTCACCAAAAAAATTGCAAGTGGCCTTTATGCGCTTCCGTAGGTAGGCAATTGTTCAGAAAAGACTTGCCTGTCTCCCACTCCTAGATGTTTATATGTCTACGATAACGCTTTCAGATAACAGCAATGCTATTTTGTATTTAATAGTGCCCTTCTATGATTCCATTTTATTCAATCGTACCCTTCTATGATTTCATAGTTGTATATATAATATGCAAAATCTAGTTTGTCGGTCGAATATGAGCCCCCGCGTTTCCTATGCGACCGATTCCAGTGCGCACCTTGTACATATGGTTTCCCATGCAGCAACTTTCTCTCGAGGCAGGTGAAGTGTAATTGTCCTTATTGTTATAAGCACAAAGATTCTGGGCAAATGTTTGTCATTTGTACATCTGCCTGTTGTCGAATGAGCCGCAGTATTTCCCCCTGCTGTTCTGGATACAGAAAGAGAAAGCTTTCGATTGATATGCAAAGTTTGGTCTTTCTTCGCACGCAGCTCTCGGAAAGTCGCGCTCGGAGTTGGCGAGCATTTTTGCTACTTGGGATAGCACGGAGCAGCACCTCGTCACGTTCTCTCCTGACATGCTTCAACCATGGAGGAAGGACAAGCTTTTGCCGCCCACATTTCCGCGTTTCAGGATGGTAAATCTGCTCAAGCTAATCTGTAAGTAGCTTTATGGATGTTTACTATGTAATAGAGGAAAATATTTTGCATCCTGCCTCCACCTTTTCATTATTTCAGTCATTGCAAGAATGTTGCAATCGCATGAATCAGATGAATCAGCGACTGTCAGGAAATCAGATGAATCGGGGACCGAGAAAAGACATCAAATTTTGTTAGGACATTCATTGGAAAAAAATCCATATACGGAAGCCACCTGACACCCTGTGCATAAACCATATGAGACTGGTCTGAAACTTGAAATTTCAGTGTTTTCTTTGTAAATGACTTGGATTTTGCCCTTCTAAACTGAACATTTCTTAAAATGTTTAGCTTGTGATGGGCAATTGTTCACTGTAGGGAATAATTACTAGCGTCCATAATATTGAAGTCCTCCCAATTCTCAGAAATTTTCCAGACTCCCCATGATAGACTTCAATTTGTACGCAACTACTGAAGAAGCGAAGTCACCAGAATGCAATGTTTTTTCTGATGAGAATATTGGGAAAAAATGGGGGAAATGAGGTCTGAAATTAGAATTGGGAATTCTGCACTTCCCTCTATATCTGTCTGTAAAAACCGTTAGTCCCAGTTCCTGCAGATTATGTAACTAATCACAACTTCCACATTGCTGTGAATCTGCCCATCATCAAGTCTCAATATTTCACTTTCAGTTTCACCGAATGGAATCCTCAAAACCCGTTTCGGGCAGATTTGAAGTTGCATTCTACTGACTTCTCCACCAGCCAGGAAACCAAAGACATCAGAGAATTGTACCAGGACTTTGGACGATGCAGTAAACAGTTCAAGAATGAATTCTGTTGCACCACAAGGAGTCTGAAAGCAGTCGTTCTTTGCCTTTCTGGAGGAAATGGGTGAGTGGTCAGTTCATGTTTGTCATTTCTTAATACTTCCTCTTATTCGTGTCTGTTGTCTTTGAGGGTCGTATTCTGTCATTTCCAAGTTGTTTTTTGTGGCTCTTTTTTCGTATTTGGTTTTTTACCTGTATAATCACATTTATCTTGCCATGAAGGGATGGGGTAGCAGGGTCGCAGTTCATGTCCATATGTGAGACCCAAGTTCTGTCTTTAAGGGCTTGTTAGGGGTAGGATTTGCCTTTCCGGTCTGTCTTGTTCTCTCGGCATCACCCAGTTGTCTTGTGTTGTAGGTATGGGTAGCAGGGTAGCAAGTTCTTTAGTACCCCAGGGGAGTGGTTGTCCCTGCCCATGTGAGACCAATGTCTTGTCCTGTGTTGTTTGTCTACAGTCTCCTCTTGTCTTAAGTCTTTTGTTTGTACTGTTATTGTCTTGTCTCCTTGTCCCCTTCGTCCTCGTCTTGTATTCCTGTGTTTTTGTCTTGTTCTGTATGTAGTCTCTTGTTGTATGTAGCTTTCTTTTCGTCCTTTC